TGTACGTTTTACAGAGGGATTAGATCTGTGCAGACACAGAGAAGAAAGAAGGAAATCATTCGCATTGACTCGTGCGCCTCAGCTAAGCTGGGAGACATGGATCTGTCAATAATGTCCAGTGTAATTTCTACATATTAATGTAGAAATGCAAGCCAGGGTGATCAGATAAGCATTGCCATAAATAGTGTATACCTCCACGCTGCTTCCTCTTATTTCCTGTCTCTGTTTAATCCACAGCATCTTTATGGTCTGCAGTTATATAATCCTATGCCTATCATAAACATCGGTGTCTGGTGTCTGGTGAGAAGAGCTGATAAAAAATGTCCATTTTTAGACTGTCTAAAGTTCCAAGCACTTCTTTATATGTATATATATATATAAATATATGACTACAATCCATACATTGAGGTTACAGTTTTCTAAAGTCTATTTAAAGACAACATTGACCATACTGCATTGCAACGCCTTTTATTTATAAGTAGCTGTCAGGGGCCTGTGTATACATTTTAAAGGTCCCATATTGTATAAAGTGAGATTTCCATTTCTTTGATTATAAAGTAGGACTAGGTTCTATATTAATACTGTGAAAGTGTCAAAGTGCTCAGTCCACAGAGAAATGCACAGAGCCTGTATTCAGAAACTGTCATTTAAAACGAGCCGTCAGGACTTCTATAACTTTGTGAAGTCACAAAAAAGCTGTCACTGCTCTCAACCATGCCCAAAGCCCCGCCCACCTGGACCCACCATCCAACCTTGCAGGATTTGGTTTCTGAGAGTTTACCTGAAATCTGCTTGTCAGCCAATCAGAATAGAGGCTCAGAGCCTCCTCTCCTCTGATTGGCTCACCGACCTGTTATTGCTAGAGCTCCAGAAAGAGGCCTGAGAGAGGAGATAGTTTATGGTTCTTAAAAGCACAAGTATTTCTTCTTATGGATAATAAAACTCCAAATAAAACACCAGAAAAGTGTAAAACATGGGACCTTTAAAGGTCACCTAGCAAGGTATGTCATTATGAACTCAGCCGCACTGCAGCTCGATCTTCCTCCACAAGCTTCAACCACTTCCTGATCACCTGTATTCCAGAGGGTGACCTCCTTTCCCATTAGACTCTGCTTTATTATCACTCCCGGCAAGTGATTATTTTACAATGTCAGTCAGTCGAGCTCCCATGCGATGGCGCTGGATCTGTGGAGTGTTTCTCCTCTCCTCTGACTTTAGCCGCTTACATTTTTACATTGTATTTATTTGAACTGAAGAGTGTTGCATTTCACTGGCTTTTGCCAAGTGGGGATTTTTCACTGGCAGCTGGGGGGGGGGGGGGGGGGGGGGTTACAACACATGCCTAAGTCTGAAATTTACCTTTATTAAACAGACCACTGCAGCATTTCACGAGCCTTAGAGAGATGCACGCACGGTGACACTTTTACACGCAGCTTTTAATCACACGACTGAGGCCACTGATCCTCCACAGAGACGTAACTCAGTCATTCGATAAGGAACTGTACTGAGAGGTTTACAATGACCACATCGCCAGGGAACAGTAGCTTTAAGTAAGATGGACATGGGGATTCTGCTGTCGGTTTCTAAAGGACTGAAGACAAATGGTTCTGCTTTGCACTCAATTTCTTCTTCACAACAACAACTTCCCAGTGACTTCATGCTCGTGATAATGGACGGCAGTAACCATGTGCAACAATGCCAAATTTTAATTAAAGAAGGTCGTAAAGTTTCTTGGAAAAGGTCAAGCAGCCACGGTAAAGTCATGAAGTGGTGCGTGGGGGTTGGGGAGAGTTTCCCCCGACATACGGGACAGGGATTTAGGAACTAAATGTGCCATGGAATCACAGTTTCCAACCCAAAGAGCAGGGGCTGCCTTGGTAGTGCTGGAATATGAGAAACTATCAGGGTTTATTTCAAGTTTATTTACTCTTTCACCACTTCACTAAATGATCCTCCCATTCAACACTCCAGGCCAAAGATGGAGAGAAATCCTCGAGGTTACAATATTTTCCTTTTTCTGTTAAACAACATTTTTCTTTTTTTGACAGACTGAATGATATCTGCCACTGTAATTGCTTCCTTATTTGGTGAATTAAATATTTACACTTGGCCTATCCTAATCCAAAGTTTATGAGAGATGTAAAAGGACATTAAGGGGAAAGACATTTATTTTAAAAGCTCTGCTAACTGAGGCCATCACCCCAAATGGTGTGTTTGGACCATCTGAGAGAAATGGTTTACTTTCTGAAAAAAAAAAATATTTCCCTTAGCTGTATTCACAGATGGAGAAATTCCAGATTTGACTTCTCATTTAATGGCCCGACATACATGCTGCGTGCACCGCAAATATCTCTCAAAGTTGATGGGAGGAAACAGAGACGGCCATTGAGGAAACCTGCAGTTCTTACTTTGAAGAATTCCGCTGAGGAGAGTAAGAGAGATTGGAGGGGTGGGGGGGGGTGGGGGTATATATACCTCTGGCTGAAACAAGGCCGTCATGGAAAAATACTGATATTTCATGCACGGAAACGCCAGTGTGTGCACCTCAAAAACACAGACGGGGAAAAGAACAAGGCTGAGTGCTAGGTACAGGGGTTACATGAGACAGGTGAAACTGAGAGAGAGGGGGAAGGAGTACTCCTATGGGATGAGTGGGCTGTTTTCTTTAATATTCACCAGACTAGAGTAAACTTGGATGGGAGTGAACGTGGATGGAGTCGGGACGGACTGACAGAATATCTCTCTCACACACGAACATATGGCCGTTTTAACATCCTTACCTCTCCTGCAGTGCCTCATGGCCATTTTGCACATCCTGGACTCAGCGATGGTGGGACAGGGTATCGTATCCTTGGGTGGTTTCTTAACAATGTGCCGCGTCCGGGTCTCCAGACCCCACTTATAGCCACAGGTTTTGTTTCTCCTGGTGCAGGCTCCCCATTCGCTCCATTGGCCCACCTCGCAGCCCTCTGCAGAGACACACAGGAACAGTGATGAAACCACAGCAGAGGGCAACTCAAAGACCTACAGGTCAAGCTTTAATACAGGGTGAAGAAGCTTTACTGTGGATACTATAACCTCTATGTGTGTGGTCCGAGTTGAACTGCTTGTTTTTAGGTCTTAAATAAGCAGACCAACTGAGAAGTTAAGCAATACTGTGTACAGGTAAGGAGAGTTTGTTTATTCTTTTGAAACCGAATCTTTTCATGTTTTGTACATATCTGTGTTGCTTCACGTACCTCCACACTCCATAGTTTCCTCCAGCGGAGCAAAGCCCTCGGGGCACTTGTCAAAGCAGCGCCCTTTGTGTAGGTAAAAACCCAACTTGCACTTGGTGCAGAAGTCTTTACTGAAGCAGGACTCGCAGTTCTCTATCCTGCATCCTGGAGGAAGAAGGAGAGAAAGAGGAGAGTCATCAGGGTCTGAGCAGCCCTCTCATCTGGAGTTGATCGAGAGCTAAGGGGTTTGGGGAGCGGGGTTCTTCAGAGGATTAGATCGTTTCTCCTGAAAAAAAAAGAAAAGGAAAAGCCAGCGATGCCCTGCGGATCATTTCTCTCCGGGGCTCAAGTGTGTTTCAGAAAACTTGTTTTGCCTGACAGATTTTTTTTTTTTTTTTCATCTTCCTGTTCTTGTTCAGAGTGAGCAAACAGTGTGAAAACACAACAGCAGAGACGGTGAGGAATTATGTCACACTGACCTCTTTCAACAACTTCAACAGTTTGCACTGACATGCAACAGTCTGGATCCAAACACACTACAGCTCACATGTTTTCAACTAATGGCATGCTGCAACAGGAAGAATACATCCCATTAGAGCTAAACACTGTCCTTAATATGCTGTCTTATCACTCCACACTGGTCCGATCCTCAGTCGTTCCATAACTGAGGATTATTGGGAAGTCGGGTTGTCATTAAAGAATGAATGATGGTTTAATGATCACAAAGCTGGCCAGCTGTGTGGATCCTTTAACGTCTGGCTATGATATAAAAAGGGGGAAGGTGGGTTAGGAAGAGGGCAGGCGCAGGGTGGGGGGACAATAACACTTTGCGCAGCTTTGCCAAACAAATGCTGATGCGTTTAGTCAGCAAACACAAGAGCGCACTTATCCTCCCACGCCACACCCTGCCGCTGCGCATGATACACAAGCGCCGCGCTCTCTAAGAAAGGCCTAGCAATGTGTCATCAAGCTCTTACTCTGCAAATAGCAAGTCAGGCAGGGCCAAATTACAACAACCACACCAACACGGCGACACACAGGCCCACATGATTAGAAGGAGCCTCCCAGCGCTGTCTAATTTATGAAGCTCCTCAGAAGCTCTATGTGGCCCTGTTGGCCAATAGGCTTCCAGTGCTGGGGAACCACAACCTATAACCTCCTTGCCCTTGCATGGGTCTCCCCAGGTAGAGTGTCGTCTGCCCCTCTGGTTGCATCTCGCACGAGGACGCAACCGCACGTCAGCGCACGCGTTTTTCGTTGTTTCCAGACGCGTAGACCTGCGTCGCTGTGATTTTCCACATGTGAGAGCGACGGAGGGCTGAGGGCTGCTCTTTTATCTGTGACCCTTGCAAGGCCCGAGGAAGGGAAGGTTCTCACAATCACACCCCTTAATTACACCATCTCCAGCTAACCATCAGGCCTCCTCCTCGACATTCCTGCAAAACGAGGGGGTCCCTCCCCGCTTTACTTTGAACCCTAAAGTATGGCCTCTGCCCACTCACTCTGGTCTCACGCTTTCCCGACCAGTCTAAACAAACCATGGACACACACACACATATATATGCACAAACACACACATACCAATCAGATATGGCTGGAGATAGACCCACTCTGCAATAAAGCTGCACTCCACATTCTGTAAATATAATTCTGACTATAAATCATTAATCTCTTTAGCAATTTCCTGTGTTCTCACGTCGTTTTTATGTTATTAATTCAATCACCTGATATTATTTAGCTTAGCTAAGTTTTTCTCTTGCTCCATTTTTATCTTATATCTCAACATATGTCTTGGATCTCTGGAGCTATGCAGTGCTGTAGAGATTTTGGTGTGGAATGCGTGAGGGAGGTATAAATATATTTTGCTGTCTTTTTTTTTTCTGCCTCTCGTTCACTTCTTTCTGGGTGGAATCAGTCAGGCTTGTGTTTGATATAAGACAAGCCCAATACAGGCAGCAGGCTAATAAATCACCAAGCTAATTGAAAAGCACAAAGCTGTCTTTTACCCCTCACACTTCCCAGGCCTGTCATCACCTGAGAGACTTAGCTCCCAAACAAAAAATAAAAGCGTAAGGGGGGGGGGGCAAGAACATCTGGCAGTACTCTGAAACACTGGGGTTGTTGTGCAATCCACAGTTATTGACAGTAAATACGAGCAACACAGATGTGTGAAACACTGTATCCTTGCAGCTGCAGTAGCACATAACAGGGTTTTTGATTTAAACATCACTCTTGGTTACAGTTTCAGATCAAGTCAGACAACGGCTCAAATGCTGGGAAATCTTGTTTTCTAAATAGAAGATAAGTAATAATGTCGCCATGTGTGATGGATGAGGTGGATGACACATCAATGCGGCTCCACGGGATTTAGAATGCAGAGGGAGGCAGAGCTTAAGGGTCAGAGGTCATCAGAGAACGAGGTGGGTAGGAAGGGATCACTATGACAGACATTTATTCCCTTTGTCCCGTTATCAGGCAAAAGGCTATCTGGGACGGCGAGGGCTATCAGCTCCCACACTGGAAAACTGGACTGGTCGGCAGCGAAACAGCTCGTCCGGCAGCTCCAGAAACAGATACAGGGGAGCAGGGTTCATTCTCCCTGCAGGATTAACCTCTGGACCACCTTTAAAGTCTTCATCTAGGTGCCTGAGGGAGACTAATGAGAAATAATGAGGTCATCAGATCCCACTGAAGGCCCACTGTTCCTGGGACTTAAATGTATTATCATCATTATCTCCCGGCCTGGTTCTGGCTGCGAGTTACATGATGAACGCAGGAGGAAAAAAGCCTCATGCTTCAGCTGTCAGAGGGATAGAAAGAGACGTCGTCACCGCTGCAGCAGTTCCATCGTTACCATTATCACTGTTATCGTTTCTGTTTTTCTTTTCTTTCTTTTTTTTTTTTTTTTTGTTTGTTTGATTTTATACTATGTGGTTTGCATGTCAAGTACATTTGAAGTTGAGAGATGAGTCACTTATGATCTAATGGCGCATGCTTGGCAGGAGCCGATGCTTCAGCTGTGGTCTGGATGGAGAAGCAGATAGATTTTTATCACGGACACTCAAAGCGTCGTGTCAGCTTCAGTCAACTGCTGTTCCTCCGCGGACTGACAGCACCACCTCTCCATTTCCTTACGTGAATATTCACTTTGTAGAGAAAGGGGTGCTAAATCATTTTGTGAAGATTAATGAACCTCTCATGTTCCAGGCGGGGTCCCTTACGTTAGCCGAGCTGGAGGTGGGTTGTGAGGCTGCTGCTCATCAGTGTACCGAGAGCCTCAGCCTCCTTCAGAAAGCTAACCAGACCCGATGTTGCGCAGCAAGGGTGTCCATGTCGTAAAAGGCCTGGCAGTGTGAAGGGGGAAAACAAGCCCTATTTTTCCAGCCTTCGCCTCCAAGCTGAGTCGAGCAGCTCTGACCTACTCTCTAGGCCCTAGGTTTGGCTGACATGGAAGCTTTGGCTTGCTCGCTGCCACCCAGCCATGTCTTGTGGAGCTACGGATGGCAAGAGTTCATGGTAAAGGCCGGAGCTGCCATGTTCTCCCCCAACTCTCTTCAGGCTGTTTTTTTTTTTTTTTTCCACATGGGTGCTCCACCGCACGCTCGGTGTCGGGCTCGGTGAAGCAGAGGTGGTGTTCCTGTCAATCAGCATCTTCCAGAGAGAGATCGGGGATGACAGATGTGTCAGCCGTCGTCCTAGCTTCTTCACTCCAAGGAACACAGTCGGTGATATACAGGGGATCTGCTCTGGTATCTGCTCGGCCAGCTCCGGCATACACACAGACAGATCAGGCAAGCATCAGACAGTGGTCAAGCGCAAGACAGCTCCTCCACTCGCACTATAGCATGCACAATTATGCACTGTTTTGAGAAAAAACCCGCTTCAACTCTGCGTCTGGCTGTAATGTCCTGGGAGCAGGGCTTGGTTTGGTGGGTCCATTGTATTGTCTGGCAAATCTGAAAGTGCGGTTACTAAAGCTGTGATGATTAAATGTCCCTTGGTGGAACTCAAAGGCCAAAAGCAACTGGTCTTTTTTGTTGGTTAGACTGTGCAATGGAAATACCCACAAGCTCAGAATTAGAGCGAGAAAAGAGAGAAGTTGAATGAGCGACGTGGAGAGAGAGAGAGAGAGGGCCGCCGGCGCTGCCAACGAAAGGTTGAAAAACTCGTTCGTTATTTTACACAGCCTTGGTACGCATTTTGCCGAGGCCCATGATGCACGGCTCTTATCCACCTCCAACATGACATATCCCATGATGTGCTTTAAAACTGAAACGATCCTGGAAAAGATACATCCAAGCAGCTTCTACTTCCAGCCTTAATTTGATGTGACAAAGCAGTTTGAAGAACTACAATGGGATTTGGTAACAGATTTCCCTCGGTCTGTGAAATGCAGTAAAAAAAAGTAAATTAATTTTTTTTAAATTACCTCAGACAGAAGAGTCTCTAGTGGCACATTACGCTGGCACTGAATGAAGCTGTGATATTTAAACTGTGCTTCCAGGATATTGGCAATCTCAGGCCTTGATCTGGGTGGTTGTTGGTTGGCAACGAACACAGCTGGGGTTTCTATGTGTTTTTTAAAAGCCACTGCAGTGGGGTAAGGCAACAGGGTTGGTGGCTTAAGTATATGTATGTGTGTGTAGCAGTGGGGGGTCCGTAATACACCCCGAGGGAGGAAGTTTTGAATGTAGCCCTGCTCTCGTGCTGACCCTCTCAACACTCTCTCTCTCTTATAAAAGACAGCTCTGATAGTCGCCTTTCAGCTCATAACTCTTTCAGCCAGAGAGCTCGCCTGCGATACAGAATGACTGAATACGCTTTGGCTTGGGAACGTATGTTAAAACCGAGGTATTATGAAATGTGACTGAGGCGAGAGCATGACTGCACCGCATTCAGACAGATTTGGCCGTACATAACGGAGTACACTGTGTGACTGCTGCTACAAGTCTTTCCCCGTGGAGCGGCGGGTTGACACCCACAGACACTGGTGTGGGACTTCTTCTGGGCGGCTGATAAGAAACTCTGCGGATAACACTGGAGTCGCTGCATATGGTTTCTGGCTCACATCGACCCATCCATTAGCTGCTGAAAGGAGTCGTTGCCAAGTACAGCCCAAGGAATATAATACACGGATGTATAGAAAAAGGTATTATGCAACAAAAAAATAAAAAATAAAGAGGCATTGCTAACAAAGCGGCAACATCTCGATAATGGTGCTGCGGCTCCCACATCTCGGGCCTCGTTGAAATCCAGCTGAAGTGTAGCTGTAAATGGGCTTCCAGTTCTGTTGCGGAAAGTATAGTTCCCATTGTTTTTGGCTCTAATTATGGTGTTATTTTCTCTGCAGTGAAAGGGAAACCCCCCACCCCAGAACAGTGAGCCTTAAATTTAACCGTCATCATGTGAGGAACGGTTTCTTAAATACTTCTGAGAAATGAGTAGGTTATGTATGGTAAGGCCGATAGATTAGGATGCTGAGTTAGGGTGCACTGGGCTGCTTCTGGTCTTAGAAGTTATAAATTCCCAATATTTATGAGCAGGAAGTTGACACATAATGGCTAAAAAAAAAAAAAAAGAAAAGTGGATGATACCTAATTTACAGTCTGTGATATTTCAGATCAACAACTGCCAAGAGTTTTTCCCTTCTGTTCACCCAGTGCATGCTGGGATAGCCTGCAACTCACACATGCTGGAAAGGAATAGTGAAGATTTTTATTTTAATGTAATATTTTTCCCACCATTAAAAATAATTTATTCTATACACATAAGAATATATTTCTATGCTCATATGCATATTATAATACATATAAGCATATCTCACAAACTGATTTTTTCAGTTGGTATTTAGCAGTATTGCTCTGGTCCTAAAGTCCTCATTGCTCAATCTATAGTTGTCTGGTGACTTTTCCTTGCGTCAAATTGCATCACATTATCAGTACACGTTGTATAAAAGTGCGTTCATCTCTCCACCCATAGCTCTCTCTGTCACATGCCCGTGAATCCTCAGGAGCCCCTTCAGAAAAACTGAAAATGAGGCTCCAGCCAGCGAGTGGCTGAGTGTAAAAGCCTTTTGCTTGTCTAGCCCATGTTTTCCTTTACCCAGGCAGTCCATGAAAAATTCTTGAATGAGATAAGATCACACAGACAAACTCTGGTGTAATAATAAGCAGCTGCTCCCCGAGTGATTTCAGAGCCTGTGTTTAAAAAGCTCATGATAACATAGATGTAATGCCACGTTCCAGGCCTCTTTGGAAACCAGGAGCACACAGCAGCTCCGACTCGCGTCGGTGGAGAACCCCTCACCGCTATCTGCCCACTGTGCCTTTGAGACCTTGTGTACCAGTTGCCCGTGTCAACTCACAAATATTCGCCGACCTGACAATTAGCTTCCAACCCAATAAAATATCCCTTTATGGAAGTTGGACATGAACTGTTTAGTGAAAATGACATGCGGAGCGCAGCTGAGAGTGAGGGTCAAATAGGGAAGTGGATTAGAGAGCCATGACTGAAGCAGTGATCACATCAAAGTAGGTCTCGCTCTGAGATCTGATGCTACGTGACAATACAAGATGTTGCTCTATGAGCAGTTTGGGAGAAGGATTCAGATTAACTTGCCACACATCAGGATCAGTTTAAGTCAAGATTCACCCAGCATGGGGATATAGTGGTGGTTAGGATAGCAGGGTTAAAGTAAAAAAAAAAAAAAAAAAATCCTTTCTACCAGAGAACAAGATGTCTTTCTCCTCCAATTTTCTCTGAGTTACGAAAATAGGGTGAAATGACTGTGGGGCCTTTCGGACTTACATATGTGGGAGTGTATGAGCATGGAGTGATTAAGTGTTTTGTTTGGTGGTATCCAATCAATACCAGCTAAACAAGACTTCTACTGGTTAAAACTGCAGGTGAAAAGAACTTCCTGCAAAACGTCTGTGATCTCATTAAATGACAGAGATGATTTAACAGAGAGCAACATCCCATCACAGCAAATGTCATCGACTGACTCAAATCAAATTCTGACAATGTTAGATTCAGATAACGGCAACTTTTCACGGTCTCATGTATTTGTCCACCTTTGAATGAAGAACAGTGTTGACAAAGTTACTTGAATTTTACTTGAAAAAATGTAAATAAGACAACTCTGGAGTTAGCAGACTTCTTGCAAAGGTCTGGCCTTAGTATTGTTATTATAAAAGCACAGAATTGAATATTTTAACATTGTTTCAATCTTGAATCAAAAAGTAGATTTAGACTGCCTTCTAGATGAAGGCTGAATCAACACTGATTCAGTATCAATTATGGTTGAAAACCCAATGTTTATTCAACATCCATCATAACGAACAATTAGGTGTCAATGTCAGGCATCAGTGCAGATTCATACTCCTGTCTGACAACATTTTAATGTTGCTTCAATCTTATTCTGCTATATGGGTAACTACATCCTCACACCTGCACCAAGCTAATATGTGACAGACCAGTGTGTTAACTGAACGCACAGGGAGGAAAATTATATTAAATTATTCAAACCCTTCAAGCCGAGTCCTGAGCATTAGAGGAATCATTAGCTGTTACGTAATTACTGAACTGAATTCCAAATGGAAAAAAGTCATCACTGTAACATGTTACTAATGAACACATTACTTTCCCACACTGATGAAGCTTGAACATGAACATGCTCTGACACCACTTTACCAGATGTCTGGGTGGTGACGTTTCAGTCCAACATCCAAAACTGGCCGGAGCAGCTTTACCATGCTTTTAATGTTCATAATCAAATGGAGTCAGCGGATGTATTTGCATAAAGGTCGGCAGTGATTGGGTAAGCAGAATGGGTTTTTTTTTGTTTGTTTTTTTTCTTTCTTCCTGCGCTACATGTTCATATTATCAGGCCTAAGGTCTGGACACCCTCCTCTGGGGCTTCATTTTAGTGCATGTGTCAGGAGTTTGGCTCAGGGAACCAAATGGGTTCAAGTTCCTCTCTGTTTTCATATGAAACACTCAGCCAACACCTCAGGCTGAGTGTAAACCTATAACTCTCTCTCTCTCTCTCTCTCTCCCTGTATTTATCAGAACATATTCCATGTTAAAATAAGGTTATGATATGAGACCCGGGTGCTACATGGGGAGGAGAGGGAGAAATTTCATTAATTGAATTTTAAAGTTATTCCTTAACAAGACTCATAGGAACATTTCAATTTCTAAATGTTACTGTTTGCAGTTAATTTTTTTTTTTTTTTTTTAAATAGTAAAACATAATTCAGACTGAAGGCGTAGTCTGTTTCAGGTTATGAAACCAAAACAATGTTTTCTACGGAAAGGGATAATGAAAAAAAAAAAAAAAAAAAACATTTACTACCTACTGCAGTCCACAAGCGTAATATGTGGAACAACAAGACCACTATTAGCAAAATATCTAAAATGGTTTTACCACTGTAACAATAAATAAAATTAGAATTCAATCATGAACACACTACTAATCCTTAGGATTAATGCTTTGTTTTCTCTTATCTAACTCCGATCAATGTACAGTTGATGGTGGAGGATCTGGACGCACGTTTGTAACTGGCTTTCTGTTAAAAGCCAAAAAGTACTGCCAAGAAATTACACTGTCTGGTGAGAGTCTCAATCCACAAGCCCCTGCAGACAGTCGACAAAAGAAGCTAATTTCATGCCCTAATGCTAATATATAATCACCTCTGTAGTTTAATATAATATTGAGCGTTAAGGCCAAAAGGACTGGTTTTTACGTGTTGCTCTTAATGTGACGACGCCTCTGGAGTATGTTCAGTGTATCTTCAGCACATGTTGGTTGCATTGGCACCTGGATTCCATGCCTTGAAACATCCTCCTGACTATAGGGTGTTAGGTAATGCAGATGTAAAGGGAGTGTTAAAGAGAAATGAGAAACAGCGCTCATCCTAGTTGACTGGAAAAATCCTGAGGGAGACACTGCTAAGACGAGACTTCACCGCCTGCATCCACCTGTATGAACAGATGAGCCGTTCAAATTGCGAGGTATGTGTGTCTTCTCTGGATAATTGACGATAAATCATTCGTAGTGGGAGAGGGGAAGTTGAGGGAGTGTGTATATGTGCATCTGGGGAAGATGGGGTGGTGGGAGTGTTGGGGAAAGGAGGGGGGAAAGTCGGGGAGGTGCGGGAGACTGAGGGGTAGAGGTGCAGCGTGAGGGAGGCCGGGTGAAAGAGACTCGGGAGGACTCACTGGAGCACATGTTGAGTTCGGGGCTGCGCATGCCGTAGTATCCGGCTGGACAGTCGTGAAGACACTCCCCGTACTGCCTCATCCTCTCCCTCCGCAGGAACAGGAAGAGTTTGGGCTGGCAGTTTACACAGCCGTTGTCCCTGGAGCACACCGAGCAGCCTTTACAGATGGGGTACGCTCCATAGCTAGCTGCAGGACAAACACAGAGGAGGAAACGGAACAGGTGATTAATAAGATGGAATTAAATTGACATTGCATAAAGGTATCAGTATGATTCAAACAGTATCTGCAACTCCTCCGCACATACTTTTCTGACATCAACAATCCAGCAGTTACCCACTTGATGCACTGACTGACCGGGTGTGTGGAGGTGAGAAAGCAGGAAGAGGCTGAACATCTCTCAAGCCCTCTTTTTTCACCGCTTTCATATGTACCAACGAGTGCAACATCATGAATGCCACTGAGGAAAGGTTGTAAAAAAAGTACAGTTATCTCCGCTTGAATGATTACCCGTCTCTATGACAGCAGGCTTGACACCTGTTTGAATGTGGTCGCTTCACACACTTTTGCCCCAACCCTGGTCCAGACGACCTGCTGTACGAACTTCGAAGCCTTAAAATTGAGTTTTAACAAAACAAACAATTTGCCCTATTACTACAAGTGTTGCACAGATCGCAGCTATATCCATATCTATGTCTATAAAAATTAACATTCTGATTAACAGCAGGTGGGTGAAAAAACATATAATGTATGAGGAAAGTAATCATATTCTCTCCGTGAACATATTTTAAGCTTCATTTTCATCAGGGACAAATTAGATCGTGTTTGGACCGCTGAACTCGTTATATTTTATTATTTACTTTGGGCAGCGGCCAGAAGTTATTATGAGCTTTTAAACTGTTGTTGAGGAGGTAGCCGTGACATCCAGAATTTTAGTTGTAAAAATGTCACACTGTGTTCAGGCTAATGTGAAAATAGCTGTTGCCATTTTCATTTTTACCAAAACAGAAGAACCTTTACTTTAAATAAATGTTTGCTTATTTAAAAACCAGGGTACTTCAGTGTGATCTGTTACAGAATCAGCACTTGTAATATCACACTGGGAAAAAATGTGTGATCGGGTGGAGATCTCTAAATCATGGAAAATGTGGGGATGATTTATGCGTACATGCAGATTCAGATCTAATAACTACAGTACACTTGCCACCTGGCCTCCAAATTAACCAGGAATCTGTCAAAAAAATGCTTTGTACTATGTGAGCCTTTGTTTTCGTAGTTGGCAAACCTATTTGCATTGGTATCTTGGGCATTGCTCCTTATTCAGTCAGTTTCAACACTGATCTTGTCTGTGTGTGTCAATGACGTCATTGACACACACAGACAAGATCCATGATGGTCATCACCAAGAGAGAAAGTTTTAATGCAACCAACCTTACTGATCATTGGATTCATACCCATCTTTGTCTCTTGAGGATTAATACCAGCCCCTTCTTTTGTGTTTAATTTAATCACATAATTCACTGACAGTTCTCGCAAGGCTCCTTTTGTTTTTTCAAATTTCCTACCTGGTGCACGATGGCGGTGCAGACCCAACTGTGGTGCGGGTTAGCGTTATGCTACAGGGAGCGTAGCTCATACTGGGCCTGAGAGAATGTAGCAATTTTAAATGTAGGTCAGTGGCGCTGTTAGTTTTTGCTACGCATTGGAAAGTGCATCTAGCATGGCGGTTCAGAAGGCTGTTTATTCTGTGCGAGCAAACAGAAGAGCAGAACTCTTGTCGACCATCACTCATGTGTGGACGACCCCGACTTCACCCGATGACAAGAACAGAGTGAACTTGAGACGATGGAGTCGACTGTGGGAGGGCTGACCGGTAGAAAACAAGCCGAGTACAAGGATGAAACCAAAACAACCATAATAGATATATCAGCAGGATATTCTCTAATTCATAGTAAATGTGTCCAATTCAACAATTTGTCATTCATGCAAACTCTGGTTCCCCTTTCGGCGCTCGAATGCTGATTGGTTATGAATGTGAATATTGCATTAATTCTGGTCAGAGCTGGCCTCCGGAACGATTGTGTTGAGACAGCCGATGAAAGCCCCCAAAAACCGCAGTGGCTGTGGCCTCAGCTCGAGTTGCCTGCGGAAGACAAAGGACCCAGTAAAGAGACGGTCCATTCCACAATAAGTGACTTTCAGTGTAAACTCCTTAGCGTCCCGTTTACAGGAAAATGTCCTTGGGCGAATCCAATCTCTCCAAATGAGAGTAACACTTCAATTGATCTTAGCCAAGTCTTAAATATCACAAGCAGGGACCGGGTAAGAGCGCTGCTCAAACTGAGCGACCTACCACAACGCTTAATAAAACACTGTGCAGCAAACTGGACAAACCCTGAGAGACAGAGCAGAGCATGCCGGCATTACTGGCCGTGGATCCGCATATTAGATTTCTCTGAACAGATTCACCCAGACGAAAGTGAGCGCTAAGTGGGCCCAGTGCAAGCATCAGTTTGTAATCATGTGAAAATCAGTCAGCAGATGTCAGTGGCTGCCTTGGACTCATCTTTTTTCATTTCTTTTTGCTGGAGCGCTCGGAGACAGTCTTCAGAGCGGCGCGCCAGCTCTGCCAAACTGCGCTCATTCTCCTGAAGCTGGGGTGGATGGAAGTAAGATTAAGTGCTAATCAAAATGTGTCTCCGATGGTCTTTAGGGATGAGGTTTTTACAGTGACACCCCATTGATCACAGCAGCGCCGGGACGTGCACGCCGAGCCTATTCATCACACACACTGGTGATAGTTCATCTCCAGTCGACACTCGCTCGGTACGACATGAAGGAGGAATGAAAACCCCCAAATTATGACTAGTTCTGGCTCTTCCAATTCTCACATGGAAAACTGTCATATGTACAACTGTCAATCCAGCGTGTAAAATATTATTTCTTCATTCAGTTGTGACAATGCAGGTTGTCTCTCAATTCAATACAGCATCTTCTGAGTCGTTTGGCTCGACTCGGGAGACACAGGTGCTGTTTTGACTTTCTGATACAGTTTTTAAATCATGTCCCGTACAGAAATTTCTAAAATCTTTCATATTTTTTTATTTTAACATGTATAAAATGTTAAAACACACAAAAAAACATAATAAATGCCTTCTTTTCTTTTTTTTTAAAGTGTAGAAAAAAGGTGTTTCTTTTCCCGTCAGGTAACACCACAAACTTTGAATTTTCTCTAATATATCTCAAATCGCATTCTGTCAGTCCTTCCATTCAGTAAAACTAAACTCAGACCAAACCTCAATACTTAACCATATGTTTCTGTAGAATATACTGTCTGGATGTGTTTACAGCAAACTGACATTCACATTAATTTGGTCATATTTACTCCCTCTGCCCTCGCCAAACTTGAACACAACACTGACAGAAGAGGAAAGCCAACTTGGCAAAAGTAAAGAGCCGAGAGGCTGGGAAGCTTATATCTCCAGCTCATTTCGAGCGGGGCAGCCTCGACATAACTATTAACAGTGTGCTAACAATACTATCCAAACAATAATAGAAAAATAAAATCTGGGAATTGTGGTCATCTTAGATCACTGGCCGGTCAATCAGCAGAGAAATTACAGTCGCTGAAAAGCCTCTTCATGACTGGCTCAAAGATGACGCTCAACTCTGTTGTTGTTAAACATTTGTTTTGCCGGTTGCTAATCTCGCAGTGCGCACTGATTGAGGAGAACATAATCACACGCCGTTTGAATGCAGCAGATCCCACATCCTGGAATCAGCAGACAACTGGGGGAAAAGAAGGGGACGGCTGTGCATGGTGGAGAGAAAGCCTGATCTAAGGAGATGTGTGTGTGTGTGTGTGTGTGTGTGTGTGTGTGTGTGTGTGTGTGTGTGTGTGTGCGTCTGTGGAAAGGTTTGGAGGTTTCAGGCCACAGGTATGTCAGGAAGGAGGCCACAATTCACAGTGTCTGGAGCAGCGCTGTCCAACTCACGTCCAACACTACCGGCATAATGTCTCACGCACTTTACATCAATCTGTCGACTGCCAGGAGGTTTCAGCCGTTCTTACAGAAAACACTCATTCATATGAATCTGATTTTTGAGACTAGACGAAATAAAAGAGCAGCTCCTTTACAACATGAGAACTGACATTGTAAAAAAAAAAAAAAGTACTTGTAAGTGAAGTAAATTTTTACCTCAGCATGCTTTATTTTCATGGAAATTGAAAGCAGTTTATAATGCATGTAGCAGCCGTGATTTCAAGTGGCACCAAAGACGAGAAAATCAAAGGGAAATGGGTTTAGTGTATGACAATCTGAAGTCTCTATAGATCACTGCAGATTAACCTAATATGGCAGGAACATGAAGCTGTAATTTTAGTGTGCTGGGGGCTGTGTTCTCAGCTCTAGATGTGGTTTTTGTTTTGAATATTATATCTTTCTCCTGTTCTCAACCAGCGGATATTTTCAAACCCCGTCTATCCGAATGCTAACTGTGTTTTGACACATGCTCGACTGCCCTCTACAGCCTCTTCTTTCCCCCCACAAATCATATAATGCCTCAGCTCTTCTAGTGTTTCCTCTGTCAATCACATGGAAACTGAAGTGACCCGGACATATAGAAAAGCCGCACAGAAAGTGCATTGTGAGATTATGGATATCAGGTTCACCATACATGTTTCTCAAGACAGGAGAACGGCGCACACGTCATTCGACGTGCCACTCCCTGCACACGATAAACCAATGTCGTTTACAGTTTCAACCACAGAATACATATTACGTGAAACAAAACAAATCCGCAGTTCCCACTTCTGACAGCTAACTGAAGATCCCTCTGAGCCTCAAGTATTGTATTTACAAAAGCCATCCATATGAACATCAGTGAAGAAGCCTCTACAAGGACTTTTTAACACAAAGGCTTAATAAGCGCCTCAGTGTGTCATGTGTACAAGGCAGAGGGCTTGTATGGAGCTGCTGCTCTTGTAAAGGGACCACATGAATAACGCTTCACATATCCTTCCCCACTCATCAACAATATATCGTGACACCCAGGCTGAGAATGATTCTTGTTCAACAAATAGAGGAAAATACATTTCAGTCCCTTTGTTCATTTGTATGTACAGTAGAAAACGTACCTCATGCGTAGGCCTGTGTTTTAAAAGAATATTTCAACAGTTGCTCATTCGC